AAAAGGTCATCTGTAATCATTCAAGTCAACCTTGAATAGGGAGACATGCAGACATATATTTCAATAGTTAGACAAAATTTATTAACTTATTGTAGCTGGTATAACGTAAATTAATTTTTCACAATCACATGAACTTTGATGTAGCTTAAAATATCTGTTTCCCTTGTCTGACTCGGCAATTCAGGATGAAATGCAGGACTCCGTCTCTTAGATAAGCTGATTAATTTGCAAGGCAATCATATCGGCTTGTCATTGATACTCCAAAGTGGACAAAAAGGTTGCATGGTTAATTCTTATGCTGTGTAGCTGCAATTTCTAACTCCTACTTCAGCTCTCATTCTTCAGCTTGGGATGTGACTGAAAATGGCTGTGGTGCCATAGGATAGCTAATTGGTAAAGCCTGTTTGGAATGTGGGTAAGCGAGCCATTTTGGCAGTAAGCAGAGTAGTAAAGAGCACTTTTTTTTCTCTTAGTTGACTCCCAGGCTAAAATTAAACAGAGTTCGATATTTCCACATTTAGTGATTTACAATGCATCTGTTCTGAGTCAACTAGCAGAAAGAACTAATTACCTATATACTTTTATAAAAAAGCACGCTTCTTTTGGGTGTAATATGCAGATCTACATTTTTATAGTATGCCTTAGTGGAAATGCCCTTCAAAACATTAAGATAATAAGTAAAAAAGATTATTTCTTCGTTCTGCTATCCTTTAAAATAATTGGATACTAAATTAATGATGCTACCTCAAACTGTATCAGCACCTGCTTATCATGCACATATCCTGAGACATCTAGAAGTCATGAGCTTAATGCTAAAATAATTCATGGTGCAGTTTATATAGCAAGATGGAGTAATGTTTTCTTTAGTTACTTAGTTACTAAAAATAAACAAAACTTGTCAGAATTAGTTTTTATTGTAGATCATTCCCTTTGTTCGTATATGTAATCCCTCCCCAATAGAAGGTGTACATTAACTGTAACTTAAACTTCAGTTTCCTGTAGAGGTTTTTCAGTTCATTTTATAGGGGGATATCTAAAATGTTTTACTGAAAGTTTTTACTGGAAATAGCAATATAGATGTGTTTGGATACTGTATACATGCAGAGCAGAGTCGAGAAAGAATTTTGCCAGGGTCATCCTTTTTTTTGCAGAGAGAAAATATATTTTTCTGCACATAAATAGCAAGGCTGCTTCTCAATGTCTAGTGCATCATAGTATGTCGTTGTGATAAATGCTTAGTTTCAGTAAGTAAATTTATGACTGAACTATTATTGTTTACTCTTCCTAGTAATTTCTTTTTTCACCAAATGTTGGGAGTGACTCAGTAATGCAGTGTACTCTTTTACAAGGTTCTTACACCTCCAAAAATGTTGCCAAATGTTACCACCTCCCTTCTCCTTCCCAAAGCACTCATTCACCTCTGCATTCCTCTTTCACCAGCCTGCTGCCTTCATCCTTTTCTTCTGTCTCTGTGATATTCGAAGCTCTTTCCTGTTCTTTCATCCCCACTGAGCATCCCTCAGCACCACTGCCTGCTGCTCGACTCTGCCCCGTTTCACCTGTCCTGCCTTTACCACTGGCCTCTTTTCTCTGCAGCTGCATCCCCCAGGTGTCCTCTTCTGCCTTACCAGAAGTGTACTGCATTCCCTTTTGGTCCCACTTATTATATGCTTGAATTTCCCTTTTGAAGGAGAGGGTAGGGCTAGAGCCCCAGGATAGCGACCCCTCTCCTCCCTGCTCCTCCAGCAGCCTTTGCTCAGCGCTCAAGGTGGGAGGAGGTGATGGCAGAGCCAACCCAAACGCAGGAGGCCCCAGGTTATCCTCTGCGGGCCCCCCGGTCCCGTGGGAAGACGAGTGCTGTTGCTGCAGCTGTCATCATCCAAGGAAGCTTGTTAAGAAGCTCATCTGCAGGATGAGTGTGCCAAGTGCAGCTGTGCTCTGCTGCCTCCTGTTCATCCTCCTCCGCTGACGCCTGCAGCCTCCCCTTGGTTCATTCCCTCAGGAGAGAGACGAAAGTTGGGGACAAAGGAAATTTTGCCCAAACTGTGCTAGGCAAATGACACCATGACTTTGAGGAAACTCTCGAATGTTCAAAGATTATGTGGTGTTGGGTTTGATTCTTATTTTTCAAATAATTTACTAGATAGATGTAATAGATAACTCTGGGAAGAACTGGGATCTGGAAATAAAACCCAAGTATGGTATGGGACTAAGGTCTGTTTTTTTCTGAAATGTAAATTTAATTAAAAGGAGAAAAGGGGAGGGGAGAAAAGAAAGTTCACCACAGTCTTAATGAAATCCAGGAAACTCGAGCGTTGCATTTTGACAGAGACAAAATAGCAATTATTTTTTTTTTTTTGTAGACGTGCAAGGAGTCTGCTGCCAACTTACAGCTTGGTCCTCACATCAGTTAGATCTTCCTTGAAAACTGAGGGGGGCAATTCTTATTTCTTGGCAAGAAAGCACAAATCTAAGAGGGGTTGGTTTGTTTGTTGGGGGAGGGGAGGTGGCAAATCTGAGAAACTTTTCTTTGACAACATAGTTATTTATTTTGAAGAAAGCTGTTACACAGGAAACAACTTTACATAGGTGATTAAACTGCTCTCTGAATATAGTGGCTGAGTAGCAAATACAGCAGTAAATTTCAGTAATTCAATGTGACAGAAGTGGCTTGGTATGAGGCCAAAGTTACCTGACAGTCAAATTGAAATAATGTAGTTGCTTATCTGACTACTTGTACTGTTTTTTTGTTTGTTTTGGTTTGTTTTTTTTTTTCCTCCCAGACACAAGCTCTCAACAACAAAAGACGACTGGAAAAATAAACTATTTTGCTGTCTGTTCTACCTTTAGAGTTTTATGGGATTGTGCTAGTGTGACTTCACTGAAGTGAAAAGATAGTTTCAGTTCAAAGCCTGACTTAATTTTATCAAACTACTTAGTTTTAGTTAATTTTTTGCAGTAAACAAGAAACTAAATTGAGTAACTAGCATCGTGTGCTACAGTAACGCTTCTTTTTTCCCCCCCTTTCAGGAGTCTGTTATAAATGTGGGATTTTCTGTTGACTTTGCCTGTAGGCTGACTTTATTCCTCACTCTTTGGGAGGTCTCAGACTCCCACTTGTCATATCACATGTACATTAAACCTTTCACTAAGTATTGCTGACACCAGGCCGTATCTCTTAAAGATGCAGGATTCTCTTATTTTGGCTTCCAAGTATCTTATAAAAGCTAATGATTGTAGCATACACTTTTTCAGTCTGCTGTTACCTTCTGCTTCCTTTTTCTAGTCTCCTCCAGATCCTGCCGCAAGGCATAATCACTGCTCTTCTTACTTGCACATTACCCCTTTACTTTATGCTTGACATCGGCTTTGCGTTAAATTGCAGATTTATTTCTAAGGTTTATTACTGACATTTAAAACCATCAGATCACATAGACTAGTCTGTGTATAGGAGTTCCTCACAGTGTGTGTTCCAACTCCAAGCCTGTGCTAGGCGGATGATTTATCTTTGTGTATTTCTTGACTGCCATTTTCCCATTGTACTTGTCAGGCTTGGCTTGCATTGCCCCAGGTCGGTGGGTCTTTTGCCATTTGAAATTCAGCTAGTTTTAAAATTTTGTCATATACAATAAACTCATAACTTACCTCTTCCCCCACCCCCCTTTACAATTTTGGTGATGTATTGCTTGTTTTGAGGCGTATGTTTTTGCTGGTTTTTGGAAAGAACATTGAATTGTGTGACAAGCTTTCTGAGTTTATTTGAATGTATTATTAAATTCAGATTGCTGCATAATTATATTGTATACTGCAGAGTAAATGTAATATATATTGCTTTAGGAACTATGATTCTTTGAATTATAGGACTACTGTAATTCTCTAGAACTTGGTGCTGGGACCTTCCAGTAACCAGGATTTCTGGTTTGAATTTATTTCATTATTTATTTGTTGTAAAATTGCAAAACATGTGAAAGGATAACTGCCTATTACTACTTGCAACACTTTTTCAATAGAATTGATACCTTTGTATTTTATTAATCCATTTGTTTCTGAATTTTACAGTTCTGTAATTACGTTCTGCTGCAATAGATATCTGTACTATTAACACAAAAGCCTCACTAATACATCATCAGATTTTTAATGCAGGTTATAGTGCTTCATAAATTGTTTTTTAGTGTGCTTGGCTTGAAGTATATGCTTAGATTTCTGGATACTGAGAATAGTTTTTCTCCTATTTTGAGCCTTAGTGCTTTACATGAAAGTTTTAAGAAATTAAGATATAGTGGCCCTATCTTGTAATCCTAGGACTTCAGAAGTGAGATTTAAAGAAAATAAGATGTATTGTGAAACTTTGGATAAAATCCTAAGAGCTCACACTACCAAGACTGCCAACATTAGCAGAGTTCAAAAATTTGCCTTATTTTACCTAACTAGTCCACTAAAGTCTATTCATGACCACATTTACATGAAAAATGTCCTGAGCAGATTCGGACAGAATAGGAACCCAAATTAGACCTGTGCTTATTAAAAGAACACACTGTCCTAGAACAAGTTTTTCTTTATTGAGGTCAGGGGGAGTCATGCATTATGTTTTTCTCTCTCTGTTAAGGGTCTCATTGACTCATTTCTTGCATAATGTTATTGTTGGCTGAGAATCTGAGGAAAGGTGTTGTGTGTATTCAGTTACACACACAACTTTGTGAAAACAAGCATTTTTCTTGGCAAAAAATTGTAATAAGGAAAATCAAAATCCAGTTCTCTGCATATTTTTTTTTTTTTGTGTGTGTGTGTGTCCATAACACTGGCAGTGCTGGCACTTTTCTCACTTTGGGGAAGTTATTGAAGTTTATGTTTTAATTATTACTCTTGATTAGAATTTAAAATAAATACATATGTAAGTCCAATCCAAACAAAAGTCTTCATCAAAGATAATTTGTGTGCAAGAAAAACGAATACCTAGATGGAGATAGTTTATGTTTTCTTTTCTTTTCTGTGATGTATAGGTGCAGTACTCTTGTCCAGCGTACAAGGATTAGCAATTAATGTTGATCCAGTCCTGTATACTTGGCTTATCTACCAACCTCAGAAACGAGCTAGTAGACACATTCAGCAGGTACGTATTTTTGGAGGGAAAGGAGTGGGGAGAAGTGAAACTTTATCTTCCGTATCTGCCAGTAGTGCATTCTTGTTCCACGTGTTTGTTTTCTGTCACCCTGTTCTTTGTAGTTTACTGCACATACTGTTGATCTTATTTTGAATTATTTAAAATGTTGTTTTGCATATTGGACTTTTCATTTCACAAATTTGTCATAATGGATCAAACTAGTGGTCGGTGTAGCCTGATGTTCTGTCTCAGTTATAAGTGGTCAGTTATTAAGTGGCCAATATAAGAATCTTTCGATATTTGTCTCATAATTATAGAATACTATGCACATCAAGGAAGTCTCATACTAGGCCCTTGAAGTGCAAGGATTAACATGATCTGTAAACATTCCTGTTTCTTGTGTGTAAATGATCTTGTTAGGTAGTAACTGTCAAACATTTATGTGAGTCCCGTTAAGCTCATTCTGCACCAGCACCATCTGAAAAACTTCCAATGTGTGAATTGAGGCTTTATCGTTTTAATAACTTCATGCTGGTTTTAAATGTGTTCAGTTACTCTTCATTCCTACATCATAACTGGAGCAGCACAACATTTCCTGCCATTACTCTTTTTTAAAACAGACCATTTATTTACTTTTGCAATACTGTTATGTGTCCTTCCAAGATGTAATTGACCTTGGTTATTTCAAATGTTCATATAGAAGTCTTTCCTTAACATGAATGTGTATAATCAGCTTTTACTCAGTGCTTTATCTTTTGATTGCCCTTGTATACTGGCTGACTAGAAAGGTTTAGCGACTACATTAGGAAACTTCTTTGTCCATGCTTTTGATCACCAGTGGCAAAAATTTTAATCAGATTTTGATTAAGTGGTTATTTTGTAATTTGTGTCATTATCTTACGCAGCCTTCTATTTTTTTTTTTTGTTATCTATTTCTGATTAAGGTTACTGTATTGCATTTCTAATATGATTAGCATTTAGAGTTGCTTAGTCATTTGAAATTATTTTAACTGTGAATTTATAAACCTAACTGTCGACACCATAGTAGTTTTACCGTTAATGTAACTGTGGTAATAGACTACGCATAATAATAACAATTACAATGTGTGTAGTAGTTATGAGTAAACTTTTTTGAAAAGAAAACTATACCTGTATTTAACTATCCTTATCCAAAGACTTTTTTTTCGTTATGTAACGCTGTAATTATCCGAGGATAAGGATTCTAGTCAGAGTTACGGCCTTGTATATTACTTATTGGAAAAAGTTTAGCTTGTTACCATAGTCTAATTTGTATAACAAAACACAAATACTCTGTACAACTTTCGTAATTTTTTTAATGTTAAATGGAACAACTGTAAGACATGATACTTTCAACCGAGTTATGGTGAAAGTGTCATTCATTATATAAAGCTCTTTTCTTCCTCTATTCCAACCATCAGTCTTATACAATGGCAACAGAAGAAAAGTTTAGAAGTTCCTTGTGTGATTCGGGGTTCTTAAACATTAAGATATTTTAAATTTTAATGTCTACTAAATACAATTTTTTGCTCTGTTATTTTGAGTAAGCTAAAATTGTGAGTTTTATCTGAAAACATAGTCAGAAAATCTTCTGGTACGTTTGTTTCTGTGTATGCATTCTATCAACTCATAACACTGAGTTCAATAAGTGCAGTCAAATTATTAATTTATTTGGGACCACAACTATAGCCATGTAGACTTCTCATTGCATAAAAGATATGGCTGGGATGGTCTGGCTCCCCACAGAGACAGGTATGCCTTTTCTATACTGGAACATCTTCAGATTTGTTTGCCTTTTAACTATTACTCCGGGATTCTTAGGTTTATGATGCCAATTTGGTAGTATGTATATTTTATATCTTTACTGAAATACATGTTACTGTGTTGGTGTGGTTTACTCTGAAAGCATGAAAAGTTAGAAATATCAGAACATACTTAAGATCGTAAGCTGAAATAGGATAGGACAGAACTAAGCATAAAAGTAAACGTGTTTTTACAAAATATAAAATTTCAATTATTTTTTCCATAAAGCTATACTATGTCTTCTTTAAGATTAATATGATGAAACCACTAAGAAATGTACTTCTCTTTGGCCTTACTGAGATTTTATTCAACTGGAACAGAGCAATGAACGACTGCTGTGTTAAGGTGTGGGGGTAGATGCAGCCCAGTGAGGACTACCCCTTTTAATTTATTACTGTTGGACTCTTGCTAAACCTGCCTCTTTTTTGCACCTTGCTTACCCAGCAGCTAATAATTGTAGAACTAGTGTGATAGCTGAGGCCATTATGTTACTTGGTTTGTACAGATATTACTTCTTTATAGTTTCTCTCCTCCTTTACCCAGTGTGTCCATTTTGTACAATTAGGTTATAATCTCTTTAACTGTGTTTATGTAGGACCTAGTATATTATGCCACATGCTCTGATATGTTCTTAGATGGTGTCTGAAAAATGTGATGAATGATAAATGAGGATTTTAAAAGTCTGACTAAAGGTAAACACCAAAAGGAGAGAGAAGCTCTCCTGAGAGAAGAATGAAAAGTTACGTTTGGCACAATAATCAGTGAATATAAACAAGTTCTTCATATATTTAGGCTAGAAGTAAAAGATTTTAAAATCTTGAATATTAAGTCTAAAGTAAATTTTTTTTTGCTGTTTCTGTTATCATTAGAAGGAAAATTTCTAACTTGTTCCTATTCCTTGTGGAATTTTATGTCTTTAGGAATGATATGTATGACAACTGTTTGCAGGAGGAGGGGATTGGATTTACTGTTTTTCTAAAGAAAGTGTTAGAATTTGGAAATTCACTTAATGAACAATGCTTCTACATAAGTTATGTTTCTGTGCGGTGTGCAAGTAACATATCATTCATCCTCACATTTATTTTAAACTAATTTAAAAAAAACCCAAACAAAAATTTGGAAATAGAAATAGTCTTTAAGGCTTCTGCATTTATTTTTTTTTTTAAATACAATGGAATATTTGGTGCCAGATGCTTTCAGTGAATGGCATTGTAGCTTATTACCTTTTTGTTACAAAGTGATGGTCCATGCCAAAATGTGGCTGCTGTTACGTATTTGAATAATGATCTGTGTGGTTGCTGTTGTGGCTATACGGTCAGTGCTCTAGGGTAAATGGATGTAAACAGAACTTGTTTTTCTCTATCCATTCTGAATTTCAACATGCATCTAGAAGTTTTCCATTGTCCCCTTTGAAGCCCCAAAACAATGAGAACACTGCAGTCTAAAAATCCATGAGGCACTCTCTCTGTGCTTGAACAAATCTTCATATTGCTTTTGAATTTCTCTCCTAGCTACTAGAATATGTGGTGTAGTTATTAGGTTTCTTTGGTGAAGTGAAATCGTTGTGTAAAATAAGCCTTTTCTATATCTACAGTCTTGTCATTATTGCCTCTTATCTAATTGGTGATATTGGACATAGGTCAGTATAATGCCATTCTGAGGGCCATGACTGGATTTTAATCATGAAGTAGTAATGCTTCTTACAAACTTTGGTTTGACAGAAATGAAATAACAAGTCAATATATACAAAACACAAACAAGCACAGAGCTTTTGTTGCATGCTTTTGATGTCCTTATTTTAATATGTTTGTTGCAAGTTTGTAATATATAAATTTTCCCAGTAATAATAGAGGAAACTACTGAAACAGTTTGTAGTAAGAAGTTCTGCTGTCTGTTTGTATACTGGATGGTATAATGTGCAGCATGTTTTCTTTAAAAGGTGATATGGCAAAGCTGATGCTGCTTATGTTTATATTAGTCAGGAATAGAATGAACATCTTTCTTTGAACTGAACTTGAGACAAACTCTTTAGTTTTCTTATGTGTGAGGTCTGCAAAATCCTGTTAGTTATTACAGTAAGTTGTACGAGGTCTTGCTCAATAAAGAGCCTGTTCTAGTGTTCAGTCACCCTCTCAGTAAAAACATGTTTACATTCAGAGGGTGTCTCCTGTGTTTCAGTCTGTGCCCATTGCCTCTGGTCCTGTCACTGGGCACCACTCAGAAGGGCCTGGATGCATCCTCTTTGCACCCTCCCTTCAAGTATTTTTGTACATTGATGAGGTCCCCTGTGAGCCTTCTCTTCTTCAGGCTGAACAGTCCCAGATCTCTCAGCCTTTCCTTGTGTGGAAGATGCTCTAGTCCCTTAATCATCTTCGTGGCTCTTTGCTTGCTGGACTCTCTCCAGTATGTCCATGTCTCTCACACTGACCCCAGAACTAGACCCAGCACTGAATAGAAGGGAAGGATCACCTCCCTTGACTTGCTGGCAGTACTCTGTCCAGTGTAACCCAGTATACCATTCACCTCCTTTGCAGCAAGGGCACTTCACTGCCTCTTGTTCATCCTGGTGTCTCCCAGGACCTTTTCTGCAAAGCTGCTTTCCAGCTGGTCAGCCCCCAGCATATACTAGCACATGAGGTTGTTCCTATCCAGGTGCAGGACTTGGCACTTCTTATTTTTGAACTTCATGATGTTCCTGTCAGCCCATTTCTTCAGCCTATCACAGTCCCTCTGGATGGCAGCACAACCCTTTGTCATATCAGCCACTCATCCCATTAATGAAGATATTGAACAGGATTGGACCCATTATTGACCCCTGGGCTACAATGCTACTTAGTGGAGTCCAACTAAACTTCATGCCACTGATCACCACCCTCTGGGCCCGGCCGTTCAGCCAGTTTTCAGTCCGTTGTCTACTCATCCAGCCCATACTTCATGAGCTTCTCCATGAAGATCTTACGGGAGACAGTGTCAAAGGCCTTACTGAAGTCAAGGTAGATAATATCCACTGCTATCCCTTCATCTACCAAGTCAGTCATTTAATCATAAAATGTTATCAAATTGGTCAAGAATGACTTCCACTTGGTGAAACTATGCTGACTGCTCCCAGTCGCCTTCCTGTCTTTCATATACCTGGAAGTGTTTTCCAATATTAGTTGTTCCATCACCTTCGCAAGGACTGAGGTGAG